GGCTGGGACCTCTCGCACGGCCCCGGCTTCCCAGGCACGCTGCACGGGTCGCTGAGTGCCCGGCTGAGCCCCGGGTGCCCAACAGCCACTGTGGCAATCTGGGGACCTGGTGACTTTCCCTGGAGGGAGCGGTTTGAGCCCCATTCCCAGCCTGGCAAGGGAATATTCCTCCCCAGGTGGCTGTGGGGCAGCAGGTGGCTGCGCCACCCTGCCCCAGAGGCTGCAGCAGGACTTGGGAGCAGCAAAGCAGCTGGGCAAGCACCATCTCCTCTTCCAAAAACGACTGGAAGCAGAAGAGCTGCTGTCCAAGGGCGTGGGGACACCATGCTTTGGGACAGCAGGCTCTGGCACGAGACAGAGTCCTCTCTGGAAAAGCAGAGGGCAGGCACTGCTGCTGGAGGGTACCATGCCAGGCTGGTTTCACCCCAAGCGCTCTGGCAGCACTGGATGCCCACCCGTTCCTACCTGCTTGAGGCTTGCTGCTGCCTGCAGAAATTCAAGAGGAAAACGCAGCTCTCTGCTTCCTCCAGAAACACCACAAACAAGCGCTGCAGGCCAAAGGACCTGCCTGTGACGCTCCCTGGGCAGCTGCTGGTGAGCAGGGCACTTGGTGTGACACAGTTGGATCTCTATGAGCAGAGCCTCTGAGGAAAGCCACTGCCACTAAACCAACATGAGATGACAGACAGGAGGGACTCATGAGTTTAATTGGGTGCTTCCAGTTGTGCAACATACAAAGGGTGACCAGAAGGGAGGACAAGGGTGATGACCCTATTAAAAAAAATAGTCACGTAGATTTGAGAAAAATAAAAATTCAAGATTAATCCCAGCCCCGTACCATAAAAATCTTCTGCATGTACAATGACTATTACTATATACATGTTTAAAAATAAATGCCCACAGCCTGGAGTGCAAAGAGCAGCACCATAGCTGTGCTTTGTGGCAGAGGAATCCATAAAGTGTTTGGGTTTTAAATTAAAATATAAATAGAGGCGTATAACATGCCAAGAACTGAGTGGGTGACATCCTCCTCTGCACAGCGCCAGAGTGAGCAGGATCAGCCCCTGACAGTTACAGCTATAAACCTTCATGTGTCCGAATCCCCAGCCTGGCAGGTGGGATGGGCAGCCTAGCTTCGGCACCACGCCGCCGCTACATCCCGTTCTTCACCAGCTCGTGGATCCCGTCTTCATCTATAATCAAAGGTGCGCGAAACTCTCGGTCCTTCACGTACTTTTCCAGACCCTAAGGGAGCGTGAAGCAGCTCGTTAGGAACGTGTCATCTGCTCTGTTGAGCTGCTCACAGGTAGCTCTGGTCCCCTCCTGTGCTAGCAGCTTGCGGGACACTGCCTCTAAAAGCTCCACAGTGAATTCAAGGCACACTTTTGTGGCTTAACCCCCCGGGCCAGGGCTCACACACGTGCCCCACCAGCTGCCTAGCTAGTCTGCAAGGGCACCCGAGCTCTGGAGGGCCAGTACTCACTTCTCCTCCGTAGGAGACAAGGGGAGAAATTTCACACTGGATTGGCAGGTCATTTGCATCCTTCAAGCTGCAGAGAAAAATAAAAAGTCAGAAGGGTTAGTCACATCTAGCCAGGAGACACAGACGGGGCCTGGAGATCTTGCAGATGCCAGCATGGGGGTCAGCAGCTGTCTGGGGCGCTGGTGGCTGCTGGCCCACACGCACCCCACCAGCGCAGATCCGCCCTGGGTTAGTCAAGCCTTGCGTGCTCTCCACAGAGGTGCGAGCTAAAGTTTAGAAACCAGCAGCAATTGAAAGGAAAGAGAGCTTTAGATGCAGCTTTAATGAGGATCTATGTGCCTTTCCATGTGTGCAACTACAGCAGCACCTATACCCCTGCCTGGACCACAGCCCCACTGTATTTAATGCTGCATGCAAGCTCTTCACCCCTTCCTCCTCCTCCTGCATCCTTGGGGGAGATGAGAGACGCACTCACAGTACCTTCCCGTTTGGCTGGTCACAGCAGGTCTTTTTTTAACACATTCTTTGTTTAAAGCACAACCTGAAGACTCAGGGTAAGTCTGTCTGCTCACTCAGAAATATCCCCTGTGGCACTGCCTGCTCCTCCTGCCTTTGTCTCTCAGGCCAGCTGTCTCAGCTCCTCTGTTCTGCACGCCACACTGAGGACAACGGCAGACCCAGGCCAGCACTGCTGGGCAGGGCTCCGCATGGGGTCCCTGACACCGCTCCTGCTACCACCAGCCTTTGCAGGACACCCTGGACACTCCGTGGATCCAGCTGGCATGAAAGCTTGGCCAGGGGACGACGTGGAGACACGTGGGCACCCCAGGATGTCCTCTTATGCCTGGTCTCTGCAGCAGCCAGACCAGCATCGCAGGGCGTCATCTGTGACAACACATCTTGCGCTCAGGCTGAAGCTTGGCCCTGCTGCCATGCACTCGCTCAGCCCTCTCCTGTCCCAGCTGCAAGTAAATAAACCTCACCCATCCTAACCCAGCCCTTGCACTTGTGTTTGCTTTAGAGTCAGATTCATTTCAAAGACAAACGTTGTGAGAAAAAAAAAAAAAAGACTTTCCATTAACTGGCAATGAAGGACAAATTGCAACCTTTATCCTACGTTATAGCTAGGGTGACAGCCTAGTTATAAACCTGAAAGCATTTGGAGTTTTGAACTAAAAACAGAGACCCTAGGTGTGGCCCACCAGAAAGTACCAGAAGACACTTCTCTTGAAGAGAGGGAAAGCTTGCTTAGTCTGCAAGTCCTTTACCCTCACCAGCTCTAAGTCCCAGCTGCACAGACATGCCCTGTGCCTACAGAAGAACATGCTGCTATTACAGAAGTTGCTCAACGCTCCTGTCAGCTTTCCCGTTTACTCCTGTAAACTTTCATGCGCTGAGCCAGGGGCTTTCCCTGGTGGCACAGTCTGGATCTTCAAAACTCAAGAGCTGAAGTCACACAAAGCACAGCTGGCCGCCTACGCTGAGATTTGCACATGCGACATCAAAAGCCTGCTTGACGTTTACTTAACGTTTTTAATCCCGTTTCAATCCGCCTGGACGCCTGGTGGACACCAGGAGACGGCAGCCGCCTCGAACTCCAGCACCGGCCAGGATCAGTGCTATGCTGCGGCGGGATGACCGAAGGAGTTGAAAAAAACACCAGCGCTGTTTCCCAACAGCACCCTGCCTGCGGGGCGACCTTTGGGGGCCCTGCCTCCAAACCGATGTCACAAGCCCCCTGCAGTTATCCCTGCCGGCTGCCTCTGTGGAACAGAGCCCAGGAGGGAGCAAACCCTGCCTTCCACCTGCCACCGTGAGAAGCGGGGTCCTGTAGTAAGGCATGCCCGGCTCCCAGCATGCGGCCCCGAGCCCCCCCAGCCCTGTTAGTTGCTACCAGTGCCTGCTCACCAGTGCGCACCCCTTGCAGCACCCGCGGCCCGGCACGCTGCTTCGCCTACAGCCCGTTAGTGCCTAAGCGCAGCCCCGCCACCATGCACGCTGCACGGCATAGTTACTTGTCATTGACATCTGCTGGGGCGGCATCTGACCTTCCGTTTGTGACGCTACGTGGGAATAGATAAGGGTTAGCAAGGGTGGGGAAAAAACAGAGCAGAACAAGCCCCGGGTTTGCTGTTCTCCAAACGGGGGTGGCGGGGGGTCTCTAGGTCGAGGGATGCCGTGACCTCAGCCTGGCAGGGATCTGCTGGTGTGCTTGGGCTTTAGGAAGCCATCTCTTCCCTGCACAGGCAGCACTGGCTGTGCAATGGAGATGGGCAGGGTTCCATTTACAGGCATTGAATCAAGAAGGAAAGCTCCTGCTGATCAAGAGAGTGCTCTGCCTGCAGCAACCGCCCAACCCACACCCAGCTCTGCCCCATGGACCACCCAGGAGAAGGGAACCACAGTTGGTCACTCCAACACTTGTTTCAGGAGTGCTGAAATGGAGAAGGACTGGAGACTGCTTGGTTTTTATACCCAGCCCAAAAACGATGCAGCAGTGCCAGGAGCAGCAACTCACCGAGGGATGGCAGGGATACGTGTGCCGTTTTCATCCACAAAGTGCCCCCCCGCGTTGAGAACCCAGCAGTGGTGCAGGGACATCAAGGCGTGCCGGGCTGTGGTGGGGTTGTCCTTGCCATTCTGGCTGTCCGCGTTCTTCAGGGGAGAAAACTCATCCTCACGCAGCACCTCGTACACCACAAACTTCCTGGGGGAAGGAACAGCGTGTGGGAGGGCCAGGTTTGGAAAACGTGGCTGCTCCCTCTTGCTTTGGCTTCACATCAGCCAGGGTAGCTGAGCCAGGGCCACAGCCCCCTCCAAAGCTCACACCCACAGGCTGTCCTGACAGCCACAAAGGAGGGAGGGAAGGACCTGGGCTCTAGGGTTAGCAGATGTCCCTTTGGCCCAGGAGCAGGGCTCCGCCAAGCATGAAACTCTCAGTTCCTGTTCCTCCTGCTGCTCACGTCCCTGCTCATCCCAAGGCACCACTGTTGACTGCTGCTAGTGAATGGCTCAGGAACTGGCATCCTGTCCCAACCCTGGGGCACCACCAGCAGGCACAGCCCAAGCACATCCCCAGAGGCTCCCAGAGCTACTCTCCCCGGAGAGAAAAGGGCTCACTTGGAAAACTGGAAGATGTCAAAGACGAACTTTTCCATCTTAATCCCATTGGGCTTCTCAGGTTGGATCAGCTGCCCTGTAGCGATGTCCACATGTGGGATCTTCTTCTCAGCTACATGGTGCTGCAGCTGTGGCTCGTAAGTGCTGCAATGGGCCAAGAAAGAGAAGTCACCCAAGCAAGGCATGTCTCCAGCCCCCCAGGTCAGACATGGCTGCAGCAGGACAGTCACTCTGCCCTGACCCCCAGCTGCCCCAAGGCATGGGCATCCCCAGAGCAGTCAGGAGACGATGGCCCCTCACACCCGAGCCTTAGCACCAGCAGCCAGTGATGGTCCAGGGAAACCTTGTCTCAAGGAAGGGATCACACAGGGGCCAGGGACCAGATCCCACGGGCCTCAGTCCAGCTCATCTGCAAACAGCAGGAGCTCCACCAGCAGAAAGCAAGGTGCAGGCAGCCCTTACTTGACTACATCTTTCAGGAAGGTGGTGCTGAAGTAGTGATTGGCAATGTTGCCCGCGTTGAAGAGCAGCCGCCCGTCTGGGCCCCGTTTCTGGGCAGTGGCCAGGGAGATCTCGCTGTATTCCACCACCTGGTAGACACCATCGACTCGGCACACCACGCCGACCGGCTCCGTGGGGTTGGTCTTCTCCACCACCTGCCCAAGGGAAGCACTGTCAGGAAAAGACCACCAAAGCCCTGCATTTTAAGCATACTCCCTTGTATCTGGCAGACCCCGTAGAGACGTCTTCCTGCTCTGAACAGCAGGGATAGGGTTGCTGGAGCCCTCCCATCCTTGGTGTTTCTGGTGATGGTGACCAGAGGAGGGCGAGATGGCAGGGCTGGGTGACGGGGTGTCAGGCACACCCAGAGGGCGCGGGCAGGATCCGGCACCGAGCCCACGTGAGGCTGGCAGAGGGCACAGTTATTTTTAGCACCCAGCCTGCACAAGAACAGCCAGCTTGCTGCACACAAGCAGGAGGCTGCTGGCTCAGCAGAACCATCCTCCTGTACTTGATCTCTCTTCTCTTCTTCGCAGCCCACATGCCTTCTTCTGGGCACAGGACCCTCTGCCCTGCAATCCCTACCCGTCACTGACACCACAGCAGGGTGGCGTGCAGGGACACGACATGAGCTTTCTCCTTTCGCCATGCTAGGGTTTATTTCCTCCTTCTCTTGCTTGGGCCAGAAGGAAGAACTGCTTTCCCCTTCCCAGCTCGTTCTCTGAAAGCTTCAAGGGCAGCAAACCCTCTCAGCTGTTTGCCAGAGCCAAGCCCAACACAAACACAATCACACCATCCCTTCAGCTGTTAATCCTGCCCTTAAGCAAAGCTTCAGGCGTGCGACATCCTACTTGTGAGACCCAGGGCTAGGCTCAGCGTCAGCCATGCTCACCGTGTCCTGGTCCTGTGCCCAGGACGTCATGTCTAGGGACAGCTGGCAGCCCGTGGCAGTGATCCCAGCTGCCCGTGCCCCACACAGCCACCCGCACAGCAGCTGCCCAGTGTCCAGGTGGTGACCGGGCAGTCCCATGGGGCTCCCCAGCAGGTCTCAGCTTTAGGACCAGGGAACCTGTGAGCCCTGGGGCTGTCAGTGCCACATCCTTATACAAGGCAGGAGGGGAGCAGCACCAGGCAGCAGTCAGTGACACCTCACATCCCTGAAACGTCAGATCTGAAGGGCTAGTGGGACTCTGGCAGCACGCGTTACTCCACCAGCAAAGTCCTGGTGCTTGGATGTTCCCCCCGAGCTGTGGCAAGCCGGCGAAAGTTGGATGAAGAGTCAGGGAAGCTGAGTGAGCAGCAGGACAAACCCCACCCTGCTCCAGTGAAGCAGTGGATTCCTGCCTGCAAAAATCATACCTTGGCCCCGCAGTCTGCTCCCTTCTCTAAGCAGAACCCGATGAACCTAGGGTCAGCCACCTTCACCAGGATATTGTCCACACAGTAGACGTGGACACTCTGCACACCCCTCCGCTCCATGTCATCCACAATGCCGTGTGCCCCCAGGGCCCGGTACAGGCCCCCATTGCCATCTGTGGAGGGAACAAACCATTGGGGCCACAGCAACACGCAGCTGTCCCTTCAGCCACCCATGTTCACCCTCGTTTCCCACACAGATGGGGTGGAGGGTCATCGGTTCAGCCATACCCCACCCTCATCCTCCCCGCCAAGGACACCGCCCAGCCTGCATCACCCGTGGGCCACGTCACACAGAGACTGCCCTCTGCCAGATCCAGCCCCAAAAGCTTGTCCTCAGCACCGTGCCTCGTCCCCATGAACTCCTCCTGCCAGCTCCTGACCACTGACCTGGTGCCATAGCAATCTTGCCCTTCTCCTCCAGCAGGATTTTCCCATCAAATCCCAGGGCAGGCAGCATGCCCTGCTGGAAGAAGATGACGTTCTCCTTCTTCAGGCCAAAATAGCGATGCTTCAGAAAGAACTCCTTGGTGGATTCCATAGTCCGTCCGCTTGTCATGATGTACCTGTCGCAG